ACGGTGACAACATGGAAGAAGAGGCAAGAGAGAGGAGGCTGGTTTAGAAGAGCCAGACTTGTGGCAAGGCAATTCAAACGGAGTGTTGAAGCAGACAATGCATTTGCCCCCACGAGTTTGTCAGCGACCCCGAGGATGTTGCTACACATGGCATGCGTGAGCAATGGTGAGTTTGAGGTGGCAACGGCAGATGTAAAGGATGCATTCCTTATGGTGCCGCAGCCAGAGGACGAGAAAGTTGCCATAATGTGGTGGCAAAAGCTACAAGCTCATGAGGTGTTGGCCGGGCCAGAGAACAGCTGCGAACAGATGGTATGTTCTGTTCAGGGACACAGCGAAGGAATTCGGCTTGGTGGAGGACATCATGCAGCCCACGCTGATGAAGATGGACAAGTTGTACTTGACCCTGCACGTTGATGACTTGTTGATGGTTGGCCGCAGAGCGCTGATAGATGGTTTCATTTCCTTCTTGGAGAGCAAGGGCTGGAAAGTGGAGTTCAGTGGCCCCCAAGGTTGGTGAGACCTTCAAGTACTTGAAGCGCAAGATCACAAGGGTTGACTCCATATCAATCTGTGAGAGATGCACCAAACCCCTTCCTGAACTGGTATGTTCACTCTTTTGGATGCATGCATGTTTGTGCCAACGAGCCTTGAATAACTTGGCCGCCACTCGCATTACAGGTTCAAGTGAGAGGTGAAAAAGTGCCTTTTGCTTTTCTTGGGTGAGAAACCCTAAACATGGTAGCGGAGCTCTGAGCCAAGAGTGCCAGGGCAAGGGTGACCCTTTTTGCAGACTTCGTGAGAGTTTTCCACAAACTCGATGGAGCCTCCTGCAATGGATAGCAACTGTGCCGGTTCCCGATGGAACAGAAGCTGGACTGGCGCAAAGCATGAGAGCGGTGGCAATTTCCTTACAACAAGCTGCGCAGGCCATGTCAGGCCTTGGAGGAAGCGCAGGAAGCGCAGGACAAGAACGAGCAGGTGGTATGGGCGAAGCAGCGCAAAGAATGTGGATGAAGAACTGAGCACTTGGAATGAACGGAGTTCTATCTTCAAATCTTTCTTGTGCTTTGGTGACAGCAAGTATGCAGAGGAGTTGAAGATGGTGGAGGAAAACCTTTCTGCCACATTGACCTTGGATACTTTTACAGCAGACACAAAGGAGAGAGCGTACAAGTTGCATTCGATGCTGTGCAATTTCGTTCGAGGACGACCTTTCAAAACTTGGTTCGATCTGTTCAGGATCAGAATGGGTATGTAGCGTGGCAAGTTCTGCAGAGCGAGCTTTCTCCACAGACCCGTGTGCGAATTCTGGCTGTGTCCAATGCCATTGTGTCATTTCCAGTGTTTGGCAAGAACACGCTCGAGGGCATCCTTCAGTTTGAGAGGTTGATCCAAGAATTTGAAACATCAATCAAAACAGATTTTCCTGAGGAACTCAAGATTGCCACGTTGATCAGATGTGTAGCCCCAGAACTTCGCCTACATTTACAGTTGAATCTCAGCGAGAGGACAACTTACCAACAAGTGCGACAGTTGGCCATTATGTTTGAGCAGAATTCCAGCAACTGGACTACACAACGCGTTTTGTCTCAGTTTCAGGTTGGATCACATGCTAAAGATCATGATGGGCCGACAGACATGGACATCAGCAGAGTTGAAGGAGACAAAGGCAAAGGAAAAGGGAAAGGAAAAGGCTACAAAGGAGACAAAGGCAAAGGAAAAGGAAAAGGAAAAGGTTACAAAGAAGATAAAGGAAAAGATTCAGGAAAAGGCTATGGTGGAAAGTTTGGTGGTAAATCAAACTACGCGAATTCTGGTAAGCGGTCGCAGATCCAGAATACCACGATCCCTGTGCGCATAAGCATCGGTCCGTTGAGGCTTGGCGTTGGTTCCTGTCCAATAGAGGTCCTCAGTGCGCAGAAAGCTCTGCGTAAAACTGCCCGAGCAAGGAGCGTGGGTCTGGTATGACGCAATTCCAGGTACTTGAGGCACCGGCTGGTGCGCGAGCTTTGAAAACCTTCCCTCGTGACTCTGCGCGCGTTTGTGACGGGGCAGCGCGCGCTCCACAGCAGACCGCTCAGTGCCCCACACCAACCATCCACTGACAAGGGTGGCGCAGGCTTGGTTGAAGTGGGCCAGGGAACAACAGCTACCTGGCTCTGCGGGCAACCTACTGGTGTGCATGACACTGCAAGGTTGAGACCTGGCTCTGCGGGCAACTACTGGTGTGCATGCGGCGCGCGCTGCAAGCTTGAGACCTGGCTCTGCGGGCAACCTACTGGTGTGCGTGCGGCGCGCACTGCAAGGTTGAGACCTGCCGAGGCAGTGACTGCGTGCGGCGGCGTGTGATGTGCGGTGCTTAAGGCGCCGCCAGCTGCGGCTGGGCCCTGGAGGATGTACCTGAGCTGTGACAGGGTGGGTGGGAGGGCGCGAAAAAGAGGGTTATACCCTAGAGCATGACCCGTAGGTGGCTTGAAGCAGGAAAACGGCCACGCGTCCGAAGATTCAATCAAGATTAAAACATAAGGGAAAATGAAAACCCTAAACGTTAGAATCTTGATCACTGCTTCAATCCGTAAGGGAACATGCATCAAGAGACAAAAGAGAACGACCGACAAAGGGCGCGCTTGCTCTTTTTCTTCACAAGGCGTTGCTTGGAAGTCAAGGCTCGGGGGCGCAGACAGTGCGTGTCCTTTCCCCGTTTCTGCACCCCCCTGCGGAGCCTTCTCAAATGCCCCCCACTTCAGTTCGGCAACGGAAGCAAGCCTTAACAAAATGTTCACGACCTCCTGGCCGTTGCAACTCTTCGTGCAGTTAACAGCCTTCTGGGCTCACGCGCGCAACGTGCTGCTGCAGCCAACACACGTTCCGGGAAGGAGCAATGATTGGGCAGACGACCTCAGCAGAGGTTGGTTGGCCAGATTCAGCCATCGCCCTGAGAATCGCGTGCGCTTCTTCAGCGCGGGCCTTGCACTGTCAGGCAGAGGCATTCAGCTGTGTCCGATAGATGCGCCCTGGCGCCCGGAACATCTGGCAGCTGCCTCCAGCAGTGCGTAGCCAAGCCTTATTGCATCCCGACATGCATCGCGACCCGATAGCCAACCTCGCCCTGGCAACCAGAATACTGGCTGTGTCGGCAGCTTGACATCAAGCCGCTTTGACTAAAAAAGAGCAGACCCTGAGCGACAGGATGCTCACAACCAAGCGCGTGCAATGTCATGCTTACATGTACCCTGCCAGGTGCAACCCCGCTCTAAAGGGGGGGTGATGGGCAGCTGGCTCGCTTATACCGGGGTTGCCTGAAACACTGAAGGGGGGGTCAACGCGCCTCCTGCTCCAGGCGCACCCGTGCCCTGGAGGCAGTGCTACTTTCAGCAATCCCGGTAAAAAGAACTGCGGACTTGCATTGCTCTTTTGGGTGGTCTTGTTTGGGTTCAAGCTAGGAGCAGTGCAACATGCCTTAACGCTTAGGGTTTTCTTTTCCCTTGTGTTCAGGGCATGTTGTGAATCTACCTACGCGGTGGCCATTTTGCTCCTAGCCTTGACCCAAACTTGCTGTTTCATTTGAAACCCACCCACCCACCCTGCACTGCCTTATACAAGGCTCTGCAAAAGAGAAGTCGCAGACGCTTTGCACTTCCGTTCACGGTCTCCCGGACCACTTGGTCTCCGGACCGCTCACGGTCTCCGGACCACTAGGTCTCCGGACCGCTCATGGTCTCCGGACTACATGGTCTCCGGATCATGCAGGTTGTGGCAGAGCCGCAGCTTGCCCTTTCCTGACCACAGACCCCGGTCTGCTGGTTGGGCGTGGGCGCGCATGCCACGCCATGCACGCACTGCATGCATTTGCAAGGACACGCATTGTCTTGCCTTGAAGTTTCACGGGGGGTCAACGCGCCTCCTGCTCCAGGCGCACCCGTGCCCTGGAAGCAGTGCTACTTCCAGCAATCCCGGCAAAAACAACTGCGGCCGCTTCGGACTTGCATTGTTCTTTTGGGTGGTCTTGTTTGGGTTCAAGCTAGGAGCAGTGCAACATGCCTTAACGAACATGTTTGCCCAAAAGCAATGTCAGTTTCCTGCCAGATTGTTGACATTGTTGTTTTTGGCATCAACAAAAAGTGCGACAAAGGGCACTGCCTGCTTTTGCACAGGCAACATTGCACAAATAGGGCAATCTTCTTGATCCGGGTTGGCCTGACTGATCCCTGCGGGATTGCAGCATGTCATTATACTTCTCTTAGCTTTCTAGTCATCTGAATCCTGTCGGTTTGAACTTGGCACGGGTAGTTGTGGGCTTTAGGCCTGCCAGCGAATACCGACAAATCTACATAGTTTTTGCAGTTTTCTTTTGAGATGGCTTTTGCAGAGCACATCAAGCAGTCCTTCGTCATCGTGATTTGATATGTTGGCATCGTGATTGGATCTTATTTGCGAGTTGCTCTGGCTGGTGGTTGATCAGCGTTCTCGTCGGCATCACAAGGAAACAAATGATATGACCGCGGCTGTTTTGCTTCTGATTGCACTATGCAGCGGCCACGCTGTTTCGGCGGCAGCAGGCGTGCAATTGCCGTGTTGGACTTGAAGTTGTGAACTGACAACTGGAGATATGGAACATGAAGTGGAAACCTAGGGCATGTTCATTTGCACAGTGAGAACAACACGCATTCTTGTAGGCTCTATGGCCGAGCGATTTTTGCACCAATAGTCGGGTCGATGCAACCACAATTATTGAGGCCAGAATGGCGAAGCTCCTTTCCCACCATGACAGGCCTACTCGCCGTGAATTGTTGCTGTCAACATTGCGTGGCTTTCAGGTACCACTCGCATGCGATTCTTGGACTGTTGGCTCTCCTTCACTTTGCTTATCGCCGTTTGGCTGCCATTGTGCTTGCAATTCAATCATGGAGTTGGTTTTGATGTAAGTAGCTTGAGTGGCTACAAGGATTCTACATCGTGCTGATTGAGTGGAGCCTTGCTAAATTCAAGATTCGCATCAATATTGTGCATCATCACTTCTGACCTAGTCTGACCGAGACATATTGCATTCCTGCTGCCGGCTGCTGTAAGGCGTGAGTCTTTTGTGCCTAACTTTTGGTCAGCAGCGAGCTTGTCTGTGCATGTATTTCTTCACGTGGCTCGGCACGAAATTTGTTTGCCCGAGCCGACAATCCCTGGCTTGGCTGAGCCAGAGCGTGCGAACCTAAGGTGCTCAGCTTCCAGTTCGATTTGCCGAGGATCTGCTCATCATAGGGCTTTGTTGGTTTCCAGCTGCCTTGCTTTAGACGTTCAGCTCGGGACAAGTTGTTGGGCAGTAATTTACAGGAACAGAATTTGGACCAAACCCATGATTTGGAGGCGCGGTCGTTGATTTGGTTTGTGCTGCTCCATTTGGGAACTACATATGCAGGGAGTTTCGAGTTCACAATGCAATCTTTGCCTATCGTCATTTGGCGGGGCGCTCATCAGCTCACTTGAGTGCAGCGATCGCGTGAGTCAAGTTGTCGTAAGATTTCTATAAGGTCGGATCTGCGCTTGGCATCTGGGCTGCTGACTGGTGGTGGCAACGGCCAACAGTGCTTTCTGTGGTAGTCAAGGCTTCTTTGTGCAAACCATATGCCAACATGCACCATGCCATGGACTGGTCAGGGAGCGACATTCCACCTGGTGTCGAGGTTTCACTGGTGCTTGCAGCATGCAAAGCAGCGGACGTGGCCACCGAGATGATCGGAAGCACGGACCGGGTGATTCAACTTCGGTGAGCAATTTGTTGGAATTTTTCGACGTCACCGCCTGTGAGGGCCGAGCACAGCTGACTGTGTTTTAGTTTTCTTCACTTGGGGCTTGCTTTGCCGGGCTCTGAAAAGCTGCAGGAAGCTCGAACCACGAATTCAATGTCTGAGCCTTTTGGGGCACTCATTTGCGTGGGTGCACTGAAATTGACCTGAGGCCATATCCGAAGAAGACTTCAGAAACCATTGAGCAGGCAGGGGCGGTGTGGTGTTTGTTTCCCGTTTGTGTTTTTCGGTTTGCTCAGGTCGCCAAGAAGTTCTATGCAAAGTCGCAATTTGCAGCGACTGCGTTGGCAGCGGCATGGCACAGGATATGTGTCACACGTAGTCATCACGTAGTTGACGTATTGCAGGAGATTTGAGGTATTGCTCTGAGGCCTTTGGGACACCGTCACTCAGTTTTTGCTCCATCCTGGCCATAGAGCTGGCATCCTTGCTGATGACTCTGGTGCGAAAGGGCATCATAGAGGCCCATCGATCGGCTGCCTGGGTTGCGAACCCTTGGCAATGCTTGCAGATGAGCGTTTGCCAGGCACGCACCTATCACATTGTTTATGCTTTTTCGACACCTGGCATGGCAATAGTCACTTCTAGATATGGGGCAACTTGAAGCTCAGCGCTCAGGCTCTTCATTATGTTTCCATGCTTGGTCGCGACGATTCATTCCGGTGACGAGCTGGCTGAGATGGCGGCCTTTCGAGGCGCTGAAGTTTGCCTCCTTGAGCAAATGTTTAAAGTTTCTTTGTGATGAGGCTTGACAGCGTGCGCTTTGGCCGTGGATCTGCGCCTCACGTATGGCTTCTCCAAGTACATCACATGGGCGATTTCAATCGTTGGAGGCGGAGAAGACAGGATAATGTGTCAGGATCATGTTTCCACTAGAGCCGCGGGGATGGTGCACGTTTTCAGGCTGACCTGTCACGGTTCAGCATGTTTGCATGTAATTTGACATTGTCTTGTTGGGTTGCCTCTCTTTGGAAAGCCAGGCCAAAATCACAAGGCGCTTTGGCTATCTGCTCTTTTCACCAGTAGGCAACAACCCGAATGCTTCTGAGAATCAGGAGCCTAGGGGCGGCTGCCCTCTTGCAGACCGTTTTCAGCCGTTTTGTGTTTCAACCCGTCTTGCACGGATTCGAAATTAAAGGGATGATTTCTTCCAAAAGTTAATTGCATCATTTTTTGTAAACTCAGATGTTCACACGAACGACCAAGGTTGCCTTTTTTTGGTATGCAATAATCTATTAAGTTGACTTGCCGCGTGGCGGACACAGGTCTTTGAGTGCTTTGGCCATTGTTCCTTTCTTCGCGTTCGATTGCTCCTCTTTTAACCCCTGTGAGTGCGCCAGAGCTGCGCAAAGACATTGCGTGGACACTAGCTTTGTTTCCCCTCTTTGCCTCAACTTTCAACCCAATGCAAGCGATCCTGCCGTGCCCTGTTGCAATTCAGTTGAGCACAAACCTAAACACTACCTCAGTAAACCAAAGCCCGAAACCGCAAATTCATACTACGCCTAAACACTGGAATTTCCCAGACACTGGTCGACTCCACCAAGCCGCCATGCCGGCGGTTGCAGTCCTCCTGCCGCCTGACACTAACAGTTCTTTCGCCTTTTGGGGATTGAACCAACAACTTGTTGCAGGTACAGCCCCTTTTGAATCAACTGGTGGTTTCTGTTTGGTTCTTCTTGGTTTGTGTTTGTCATTGTCAAAGGCCTGCTCAATAACAGTTCGCCAGGATATTTCTTGGTGGATATGCTATGCCCTGTGATGGGTGTGACCGTGTTCAAATGGTTCTTTGCTTGGCCTGGCATGATGTGGTCTGCTGCAGACACACTGAGAAGCGGCGAAGCGGCAACTACGATTGCCCCTGTATTGATGCATGCATGGCTTTGAGTCATCGAGTCTGAGGTTTCTACAATGTGAAGGACAAGTCATGGTCAAATGAAGGCGCTCGGAAGCATGCAGAAGCCTTTTTGTTTTGCCGCCCAGAGCAGAGTCAGTCCTATTTCAGGCGCGGCACAACAAGCGGAGACGGAGAAGAAGGCGGATATGGATCCGCAACCTGCAGGCGTGGATTGTGAGGGAGGACCCTTTTGACACATCTTCTTTTGGAGGAGATGAGGGACACGCGACCAAAGAGGAAGTCGCCAAAGGTTCCTTCCCATATGTGAGCCTCGAGCTGAACCAGTCGCGTGAGTCTTTCGGGCCGAGATCGCAGCGAGTTTTTGGATGTCGTTAAAGCCTCGGCTGTAAGGACACCCAGCCTCGGCTGATACACCGACCAAAGAGCGACATCGGAACTGCAGAAGCTGCAAGAGGAAAGTTTGGATGAATTTGCGGAGCTTCTCAAAGAAGCGTACTTGTGAAGCCGCGAAGCCTGGCGTCCTCTGTTTTCCCTCAGCATTTGCCGGGCAGGACGTTGAGAAGATTGGCGATCAAGTTTCTTATTGAGGGCTCCCAGCAGCTCCAACTCCAATGATTGCGAGCCATGCGAGTTCGTTTCACCACTTCATGTCTTCACTGGGCACGCTCAAAGACTGTGTGCACAGCGTCGTCGGAAGAAAAGCACTGCCAGCATTGCTAAATGCCAGCATTGCTAAATAGCATTCGAAGAGCCTTTTGCTTCCATCACAGCCTATTGAAAGGCCTTTTCCGTTGCACTATGAGATGCTTGCCACAGAACCTTTTCCCACCGCAAGCGCGCCACGGTAGCCCGGTGCCGTTTCCGACCAAGCAGGCCATGTGAACAGGACATTAATATAAACCTTTGCGTCTGGTAATATTTTGAATGCTGCTGCTGCCGCATTTGGCTCAGACTGTTGTTGCTGGCAGCAGTACAGTTCGTCCGTTTGTCTAGCCTTTTTACGTCCTCGTCTCCGCAGGCCTCATGCCTGGCTCATTTGGACTTGTTTCGCCCCTTCATATCTGTTTGCAGGGCAACTGCGTGAGTCTTCATGGGAAAAAAGTCCAAGGCCCGGTTTGGTGTAGCGGGTCACATCTCGCCCTTTGCGAGTGCCGCCGCTAGGAGCCAAAGCCACTCATTGTCAGCTGCTTATTGCCGCTACTTTGTTGCATTTCAACCTTGTTTCTTGGATTCGTCGCTAAGGACAATGTTCTCATTTGGCTAGCTGTTCTCAGTGGAGTCATTGGGCTGGTGTGCCTCATTCCAAAGGTGCCGCCAGGCACTCAGCTATGTTGAGAGCATGCAGCCTTCCTCGCACCCAGAAGAGACTCCAGTTGCGCAGAAAGACAATGCAGCACCCAACTGCATTTGACGCCGCGAAGGTATCGTTATGCAGAGGTCTTCACAGGCTATCACAGCAGGCATGGTGTTTTGACCTGTTTGCATTGAAGGATTAATCATACAGCTTCATGAATGCGATCGGAGCGCTTCTTCACAGTGGCAGGTTTGCAGTTGCTAGACGCTACTCCTTGTTTGGGCCCACCAACCGGAATGGGCAGGTTGTTGGAGCCTCAGCTTGTTGCTGCGTTGCTTGTCTCTGGACTTCTTTTGGAAGGTCTCCTGGTACAAGATGAAGAGAGATGTTTGCTTGAAGCTGAAGGCAGGTAGCTTGCCTCTCGCAACTGAACATTGACACGAACGCTTTGACCATAGAGTGCTCTCAGCCGCAGGAGTTCCAGCAGGGAAACCCAATGCTGGCGCACTCCTCAGTGTTCTTGTCTCCTCGTTCTCACTCGTTTTTGAGCTGGTGATGCCTGAGACTGCAGCGGTTGGTATAGCTTCTACCCAATCCGGTGTCGGTGGTGCAGCTGCTGGCTGTTTGTTCTGGGATGCCTGCAAGGCGGGCACGTCTCGCGATGGGTTCATTTTGGTGTCGAAACCCCATTTCGCTTGGGCGTAAAAGGAAACCGAAAGGAGCAAAAGGAGTCCAAGCAAGGTGCTGAGGCATGTGTGTGGAACGGATGCGGACGCTAGCAGGGAGGCTTCCCGATGCAGGAGCCCAGAACCTCATAATTCCTTATCGTTTTGTACGGTGCTTTCATTCCGAAGAGATATATGCATTTCGGTTACGTCTGCAGATACAGATGCAAGTTCGATGCAACGAGTATGCCACAATGAGCATCATCAGTGCTGTACTTAGCATGCGCTGAGCCCAAGGCGAGCCCAGGAAACAATGACATGTGAAACATATTGTGAGGGTTTTGAGGGCCCATCCAGAATTCGACAGCCCATACTTGTATGTGGCCAGTGAGCAAGAATGCGAAGAAAAGGACATGCTTTGTTGCAGGGGCACTGATAGGCACAGGCAGCGACCAAAGGCTCTCAGAGCTTGTTGAGTTTCGAGGCATCCTGGTGCAGTTATTGCAGTTAATCGGAGGCGTGTTGCAACATGGCGCATATCATTTGTCACATGAGCGTCTGTCAGTCGGTGCCCTTCTGTGCGTACCCATGATGCTCAACGGGGAGGATGAAGCAGCAAAGGAGAAGAAGGCTGAGTCGGTTGTGTAAGCGCCTTTGATGCTTTGCTCTTGTTTCCGCATGCACGCGCAAACGCTGACACGCCAGGGATCGAAGAAAGAGAAGGCAAAGAAGAATGCAATGGCTGCGACAATGAACTGCAGTGTGGCCGGGTTCGCGTGCCATGCTGAGCTTTGTGTTGATGCATTGGGTGCAATCCCAGTCTGCACCGCGCTGTTCGCGTTATTGGCAACTTGCTACATCAAACTTTGTGCAGCTTTGCGTTCTCCAGGTAATGCCAACGAATCAACTTTTGTTTTTGTGACAACAAAGGACAGGTGCTTCTGCCCTTGCAAGGCAGAAGCGACCAAGGCAGACGCGATCATCAATCACGTTATGGTCAAGCAACACAACCTGAGGTCCACCACAAGAGCTGCAAGGGAGTTTCAAGTCAGCAGTTGCGATGTCATATGTTAAGTCATATCTTAAGCATTTTTGTGACTTAAATGATGCCCTTCATCGCAGGTTTGAGACCACTTGTGACCTTCTTTTGGTGACTGCTGACGATGAACTGAACAACACAGCAGAATCAGTGTAAACATTTTCTTGCTTGCAAATGTGGTTATGCAGGCAAGCTTTTCAGAGTTTGATTCCTGGATGTGTGCTGCCTTCGACAACTTGCAAGTTGGCAAAGGGCATCATGAAAGATTCCCTGAGGTGTACCTTCCTGTCTTGGGCTTTGTACATGGGGCATGGCGCTTACAATCACTGCCATGCATCTCAGCTCTCAGCTCAGTTGAAGCGTGGGTCGTTCCCGATTCTGCAGGTGTACAGCCAACATGTTTGCCACATTCAAAGTCCAGGAGCACGGGGCTTAGCAGTCTCGAGATGTATCTTTGGACTTAGCCTCCTAAGTCCATTTGCACTGGGCAAGCAGCTTTACTTTTCAAGCGAGGGCTTTACAGGTGACACAAACGACTGTGGGGCAGGGGGCGGAGTCCAAAGTATCTCACGCAGCCAATGACTTTGACGCATGGCTCTCAGGGCATATGCCTACGGATATGCGTACTTCGGCTCCTACGTCGCTGTGACCGGATACTTCTTCGCGCTGATCTGTCGAAAGCCCAGATCCAGTTGTCGGGGGTGTTGTCGAGGCCTGTGTCTTGGGGCTGGTGGACTTGGCACTTGGTGGTGCTCTCTCGGAAAGCTGGGTTTTGGACTGGATGAGGTGCTCTCCTGGCTTGGCGCCGGTGGAACCAGTTCGGAAAGGCGGGACGGGGTGTTGTGAGACACCTGGTTGGGTTAGACTATAATGATTATCAACAGCAGCATTTCCATTGCCCAGTGTCATTACCATCTCCAGCATGCCAGTGACCACATGGCAACTAAAGGCTCAGAAGAATTTCCAATTCAGCCGTGGTGCAGCTGATCATGGCTAGGAAAAGGGTTGAAATTCTTGTCATTCTTGGGGAAGTGGGGAAAGCTGCCATCGGCCCTTCTGTCAGCTGTGCACCCTGAAGCTGAGGAAAAGGACGAAGAAGAAGACACGTCGAAGAATGCCGACATGCCTACGGTGCCCCTGGCTCGATATGTTTGCGCCTTCAGGGAGTCAAGTTTTGATGGCAGGACCCAATGCGGGAGCCTTGGGCTGCTTGGGATGCTTCAGATGCTTCTCCGCTCTTGAGTCATGCCCGAGGGCCAGCATGCCGCCGGGAGCTCCAGGTGCTCCTCCTGGCATGCCCGGATCCAAAACGTGAGCCTTGCAACGTCCGTTCTCCGCGCGGCTTTCGAGGCCTGGTCTTGGCGGGCCAAAGACTCAGCAAAAGGAGAATCACAGCACAATTGATCAAGTTCGGTGACAGGCCACCCCCGACTTGAGTCTGAGAGCATCGGTGCAGAGTCAGGGGAGCGTCGAGTCTCAGAATTCGCCTTCCTGCTTTCCATCCGTAATCATTCGATGCGCGGTAAAACCGCCTGGCTAGTTGGACACAGTGGCACATGTGTGAGTGCAATCAAAACTGGCTGCTGACCGCTTGCTTGCGTCCTTTGTTCCAAACGACAAGTCGTACGCTTTGCCCTGTATGCTATCTCTGGGCTGCGCTTTGCACGGCAGCAACATAAGGATGCGTGCTTTGCCTCGAAGCACGCATGCGTACAACACCAACTGGCAGTGATGAACCTGCCATTCTTCAGTCTATTTGCCGCACACAATGGCTGATGGCCTGAGAATCTGCCACAGTGCGCACTTTCCCTAGGCCATCTTGGGCCAGCCTTGCAACGACAACACCAGACCAACCCAATACAAAGCTAGATGGTGACCTGCGGTTTGCAGAGAGATGGCCCGATCGAGCGACAGGTGTGCGATGCCTCTCTTGCATTTCCAACAAGTCCGTGTTGGATCCACCAGTTGTCAAGCAGCAGTCCTACCGGAAAAGGAGCTGTGTTTCGTTGATACGCTGCTATGAAGGTGCAGCTTGGGTTCGGACGTATCTTGCATCATGCGACGGCGCACTCCATCTCCGGCCATGGAGAGCCAGCATTCGCGTGAAGTTGGGTGTACCGCAGCCGTGTTGAGTTGGCCAGGCTGAGTTCTGGTCCGATGGTGTTGTTTGGATCATTGCACGATCGCGCAGGGCCGGGAACGCGCAAAACTGGCTGCCTGGCCCAATGTTGAAGGTGCTCTCCGCTTTCTGTGCCAAGCAACGTTGGCTCTATGATGGTCACCAATGCACACACACACACACACACCAGACACACGCACACACACACACACACAGCCACACACACACCCACTTGCGCATCCCCACGCACGCACGCACACGCGCACGTGCCGCGCACACACACACACACACACACACACACACACACACACACACACACACACACACACACACACACACACACACACACACACACACACACACACACACACCACCCACACACACACACCACACACAGCACACACACACAAACACACAAACACACACACACACACACACACACACACACACACACACACACACACACACACACACACACACACACACACACACACACACACACACACACACACACACACACACACACACACACACACACACACACACACACACACACACACAACACCCACACACACACACACACACACACACACACA